TGGAAGCACGTAACTCTATCCATTTCGTCACTATTGCTATTCTTCTTTTAAAAATTATAAAAGAGTCTGCATGCAAACAAAAATATTTTCTTTTTTAAATTGGTTTGAAAGTTGGTTTTTTGTAAGTCCAAAAAGATTTTTTATGTTAAATACATTTTTATTTTAAATACAATTTTATGATGATAATAGTTTTATTAAAGTAAAAAAACACTTCAGAAATTTTCAATGAATTAAGCAGTCAATAAGTAATATCAATTGAATTTTATGAGGATTTTGAGAAAGCCGATTCTTGAAAGGAAACCGATATAAAGGCAAAAAATCAGGGATTTTAGAATACGTGCTCCGGAACGATTGATTTTATCGATTCACCGCCCTCGGTTGGTAGGCGATTTAAGGCATAAAATTCAAATCACTTTTAAAACAAGGAACAACGTACTGATGCTATTGAAACCAGTTTTGAAGACGCAGTTGAGGCTATATAATTTACAAAGTGAATGTAGCACCTAGGCGAATTTATTTATTTTATCCAAAACGTATATAAGCTTCTATAAATGGGTTGTTGTGAATATTTCTTTGAAACAACCGACGGCAATATCACATTACCTTTCGAAAAATTATTATCAAGGAATGTGTACATATGTCTTTCACTCGATACTTACACCATTAATCATGATTAGAAGAAGTTTTCGCTTCTTAAACAGATAGAAAGACGATTAATGTTGAATAACTCAATGAGAGGACAAAACCCAGGATGAATTGATTTACACTTTGTGAAATCTTTTATTTATTCAAGCAGAAATGTTTTGGGAATGCGTTGGGGCCAATGATATCCATCAGTTACCAGCTCTGCATGGTTGTAAGTCATGCAGAGTATCTATGGCTTTTAGCCGGTGGCTTTGCCGTTTAGAAAACTCCAGACGAGTTTTTGGGGGTGCAAATATGCTGAAAGACATACAGAGCCCCGACAGCTTATAGCGCTTTGGCTTTTGTTGCTTAAAAAACACTTCGGAGGAGTAGTAAAGAGCTGAACACATTAAAAATGCCGTGCCACGGGCCATAGCTTCCAATTTGTTATCTTCATTTTGAATTTGTTTGAGTTTGACATAAAATAAGAGGAAAAATCTTGACAGCTGTGGTTCGCAACCCATTGTATCTAATGGGTCTCAAGCTTGATGCATCAAGCGAGTTTGTTGAGCATGATTTGGGATGCCAGCAATTAACCTAGCATACCTTTAGACACTAGTTGTCATTAATCGCCTAAGCAAATGTAAATGCCTTATTTCAGGTAGCAATTTCATTTCAATTATTGGGTTTTTAATCGTATTTAAGTAATAGTTGCATAAAAATAGCATTGGTCGTATCAAATTAAAATTTATATCAACAATCAGCATATAACTGATGATTTTTTTTGCATAAATTAGATCACAGGATTAATCTCCAATTAATATAACTATTTTTATATTAGTGGTATTCTCGAAGGTACACGGATTGTACGGCTTACAAAGCAGTCGCATAGGTAAACCGGGTTTTTAACATGCAATCCGTGCACCGTGCAAGGGCTTTGCAAGACTTCGGGAATACGCCTATTATATTCTCTAGCTATAATGTGGAATTTCCAATTAGCATTGAAATAAAAAATGTATGCCATTAAAAAAAAACGCCATGTGGAAATGAACTTAATGACAATTTTTTCAACGTAACGACATATTTATTTTTCATTTGTCATTTTTGCCATTTAATGCCTAGTGGCGTTAGCATAGTTAGTCTCTATAAGTGTCTGTCCCTAAAGCTCTATTAATTTTTAAGTTTGCATATACTTTTGGAAATAAAACTTAGGGAAGTTTGTGCTAATATCGTGCTTTCCAGACCCATGAATACCTCTCTTAAAATATCTAAGCCTATCACAACCATATTTCATACAAAAATTGTATGCTTTTTGGAGATCCCAATTTAAAGGGCAGACAAATGTTCAAAGCAGCTTGAGTAACAGTGTTTATCCTACTAATTTTAAATACTTCCGAAAAAAGTCTATCGAAAAAGCAAAAAACAGGCTGAATGTTTATCCCGCGGAGGAAGCTTTTTAAGCTTTTCGCTTGCTGATTAAAAGCGCTCTCTGATCGTAACTGCCTAAAACAAATTACAAATATTGTCCAAAAATAAGCTGTAAAGCTTTTATTGTAGATCTGAGCGCTGTTGAGCTTTTCATAAAATCATACATATTTTTTTAATTCATACAACTCACCGCTTCTCTTCGATTGTGTACCCAAGATCTGATCGATGCTGTAGACGGCGCGTGGCCTTGAGACGGAGCTATCCTGCACAGGACGCATAACGGGCGCCATGATGGGATGTGGAGTCGAAGTGGTCATCATTTTAACAGAATATTTTAACTTCAATTGAGCACTCAGTAAATTTTTGCACACTTTTGCTTTTGTTTTAATTTTTTTCACAGTTATCTTTTTGCCGCGGTGAAGTAATTACCAATGATTTAGTTAATTAATTGCACTTTTTAAACAATGTTTCTTTTGATAAGGTTTTGTTATTATAATTTTTTTTTTGTTATCGAAAAAGTCGTCTTGTTACTTTTCCAAATTATTTTTTAATTACTGCGGTTAGTCACATCAACAACAAATAAACACGTTACGTGTCGTGGTGAAAATCGCATTTCCCGCGCGTGTCAAATTTACGTTTCGACCAACAACCACCGACTGACACAAAAACAGCATGGACTTCGATATATCAATGCCATTCACATGAGCCAGTCAACCGAGCAAGCCAGCGGCAAGTGTCTGAATGAAATGGCAGAAGAGCAATATGCTTAGGTCCTGCGATGCGTTGCCAACCGTTGACAACATACAGTGAGTAGTTGTCCTGTGTTGCACAGCAAAGCAGTGACGAAAAAAAAGAAAAACAAACAAACACAACAACTCAAGACAGGCAAGCAAGTATCCTGCAGTGCGTTATCTCTTTCGCTCTTGCGTTGCAACATGCGAAGGGTAGTTTTCCGGTTGTTAGCCATTGTAATGGGTTTACAGGTAGGCACCACTGTGCCACACACTAAGGGGTGTTGCCACACACAGACGCAAACACGCGCTCACTCACACATTCACACATATTCGCGCACACAATCAACTCCTTTCCACCGTAAAAACGCCATTTCGCTGCTGCTGGAAAATGAGAAAACCCAACAACAGCAGTAAATGTTATACGAGTGGATATCTAGTACGTTGCAAAAACCAATTGTTGAATTGGCTTTTGACTTATTTGCCATGGTAATAAAGCCAATGCGTTATCAATCAGTCGCTACAACTACCATGTTAACAGAGCTGTTATATTTATTTATTGTGTTTCATACTCTCACGCGGTTATCTTTGCTGTTCGCTTCTTATCTTTGTTTTCATAGTAAAATTTACTTGAATGGACTTCACAATATAGGTACTAATCGCTATCGAATTACGTTGCTTCTAAAGCTTATCATTTGTGAATTTTGAATATCCGATTCATTTATGTATGTACATACCGCCCTATGCTGCTCTACAAAATACTACTTGGTGGTGCTAGTATATAACTATTTATGAACTTCAGCACCACTGTAGCCATTCAAACTTGGAATTAAAGGATTTAAGGTCAGTCGATGGAAAACGTGCACTGTAGTTGCTATTCTTAAGACAAATTCGAAGTTTCGGATTTAGAGGGCAACTCTGGCAACTGTCAATTCAATTCACCACAGTCTTTCGAAAGACAAAAGTTTGGCAACTATCTTCAAAGCTCTGTATTGTCTTTCGAAAGACTAATTGAAGGATCTGCCAAGGAGAAGGTCTTAGCGTTATGCTGCTTGCCATTTAGCAAATCGTTGTTTAAAAATTTAACTAAATTAACGAAAGCTTTATATTTTTTTCTTTTTAAAAACTATAAACTAATTATTAAAAAAAAACTTACAAAGGAAAAAAAATTAAATAAAAAAAGGAAAATAGTTCCTAAAAATTAGAAAAAAAGAATAAAAATATATTTATTGTTAAAACAAACTTTTAAGGTTGAAGGAAAATTAAATTGAAAAAAAAAATAAGTAAGATCGTAAAATTAAATGAAATAAGAAAAATGTACTTTTCTTTTCAAAATTAACAAAACAAAAAATTTAATTAATTGAATTAATAAAAAATGAAATTAAATTAATAATAGTTTTTTCTTTTTTAAAAGAGCAACATCTAAAAATTAAATAATGAAAGAAAAAATTAAAAAAGGGTTAAAAAAGTTTCTATAAATATAATTAAATTAAAAAATATATATTTTTGTTTTTGAAACAACGTAAAAATAAAAAAGAAAAAATTAATAAATTGAAGAAAAAAAATAATGGCGAAAGGCATGACTGAGCTTTGTTCACTCGGCCATTGCGACTGTTGCAGCGACGCACAGTGGTTCAAAATTGGCACTTTGTGTTCACAATTCACTGGAGCCTTAAATTTTCACTCAATTTGATCTTTTTTCCTGAAAACTAATACAATTTTCAAGAGACCAGTTGAGCCCGATTTTTGAATTTTTGTTTGTTTTTATTAAATTTTTTAGTGCAAAGTGTAAAAAAGTAGCACTTGAAGAAAATCGGTTCTCTTGTTCCAGTTAATAAATATTACATAATAAAAACTACCTAAAAACAATTGTATGGTTCACCCAAAATGAAAAAATAAAATTAAAAATAAGTAAAAAATTGTAAATGCTATAAAAACATTTTTACCAAATTTAAATTTTTTTTGTTTTTATAAAAAATGTTGGGTATGCAGTATGATAAAGTGCAAGTTGCTAAGAGTTCGCGTTGATTTTTAATAATATAACAAACGCTTTATTTTACCATTTAGCAGGCAGATGTGCTGGAATTGTTGACGAAAAAAATTATTAAAAATCAACGTGATTTCCTAGCCACTTGCAAATTGCACTTTATTATACTAAAACTGCATACACAACATTTTCTTTTTAATTTTGGTGAACATTTTTTTTGATAACATTTCTCAGGCCTATTTACAACGAAAGGCAACCAATTTCGAAGCACCGGATGGATCACATCTAATACTGACAAAAAATTGCAAGCAATGGAACTCTGTTGAACTAGCAAAGCAGTGGATTAGCAACAGCAGACGGTAGACCCACCGTTTAATACCAAACCCCGAAGCATGGATAAACCGTTCTCAAGGCAGTGTTACCGAAAATGTTGAACATGTATTCTTTTACTGCAACAAGTTCGCCAGAGAATAGAATTATTTGCGAAATGTCTTAAAGGGTAGGGGGCTACAGTCTTACGCCGGTATATATTTCGAAGCAGCAAAAAATAATTGGCTTCTTTCTACAAAATATTGTTTTTTTTTTATTTAAATAGTTTGGTTGTAATTACTTCTTGGCATAGATTGTTTGATATAAATTTTTAGAGACCTTTACGTTGGTGACAAGAAGTTTTTGCCTGAGAAGACCCCTAGTAAAATTTTGCGCAAAATACTTTTCTAGAACATATCAACCCCCTAAACACCTTTCAAATTAACTTTTTGCGGGTTTCTTGAAGTAGGGACCAAAATGACCCTTTCAGGGTTAAAATATTCTACAAAAATATTTTTTAGGAGATAAATTTTGCTTCTTTTATTTTATTTTATTTTATTTTATTTTATTTTACTTTATTTTATTTTATTTTATTTTATTTTATTTTTTTTATTTTATTTTATTTTATTTTATTTTATTTTATTTTATTTATTTTATTTTATTTTATTTTATTTTATTTTATTATATTTATTTTATTTTAAAAACTCATTATTGCAATAAGACTTAATTTGTTTGTGCAACAAGTCTATACAAATTAAAAGCTACAATACTAAATCTAACAACAAATATCTAGAGTAATTCTGAACTCGATAAAGATCACAAATACATACTAGTTCATCAATTTGAAGAGAAGTAGGTAAAAAAAATGGCATTAAAGTTGCTCTTGTTAACTTTAATTCCAACAGTAATTGAAATTGAGCTCTAGATTCGTATAAGAGTAATGAAAAACAGTTTTGTGGAATTGTTAAAATTGTATAGAGGTAAGATTAGGTCGCGCGATCTCCCGACTTAGGAAAGATAGGTTTTTTATATAGGTAATAAAGTATCATCGTATTTATAAGTCGGAAAGAAAATGCAGTTCCTGGCCATTATGTAGTCGGAGATTTCATACCCCAGCTGGGAAGACTTCAAGGCAGATATCTTTTCTATATACCCACGGTGACCATAAATATGAATTGGAAATGCAGGACAACGGAAAACTTTTCAAAAAATATACCTACATATCGTCACCTGAAATGCAACAAAACGTAAAAACATCGTAAATGAAATGGAAAAAGTCGTGACTAATATTTTAATTTTTTTTCATAAAATGATCTAATTCGATGAAATCCATCACGTATGTAAATACATAGGTATGTATGTAAACTTTGAATATAAATCACATTCTCTTCATTGGTATTAATCTTTTTTTAATGAATATTTGTAAAATTATAATACAACATATTATAATTACACTAGTTTACACGAGAAATGAACCTCTGTAAAATGGTAGAAATTATCGAAATTTCACTTTTTTCGACTTTGGTCATTTGTAACACATTTCATTGAAATCGGCACAGTCTAAATGTTTTTCTAAGAGGCACATCGATACCTTTCGTACTGTTGGGCCATTACGTTGATTAATATTGACGAATAGCTCCGAAAAATACAAAAAAGATAATTGCGTATTGTTGACGTGTTAATCGAACCAAAACTAGCTTGAAAACCGTTTCTTTCTTAGATTCAAGCGTTAAATCAAAATTTTTAAAGCAGTGTTACTGGGATTTTTGAAGCTGGTGTTCATTTTGTAGTCACCCATTGTCTATGGCCTTACAAAATTTAGAACGCATTGACTTGTTGAAGCTTCAAAATCGGCCTCATCCTCATGTAGTTATCAATCAGTTATCGACATTGCTTATATGTTGATAAGTAAAGGACTCCCGCTTTTTATTTTAAAATATCGAATAAAATGCGGGACAAAGGCAGGACATCTGGAAAAAAATCAGTACATTTTGAGGTTTTTCTGTTTTGAAAAACCACCCAGGACAGACCTTTGAATAACAGTACGGTCCTGCAAAAAACAGAACGGATGGTCACCGTATATATACCAACTCGGAGTACGTTAGTACTATTAAGATTATATTCAGAAAATGTTAACAAAGTCCAGGCCGGTTTCGGCTGTAGCATAATGTAATCACAATTTAGAGTTATGCAAATACTAACCACTTAATAAGTAAAGCTGATTGTATTTTCCAAAAAAGCTAAACAAATATCTGTCGTTCATTATTTTATAATGTTTTTTCAATTATGTTATCTTTCATGCTAAACAGCAATGTGGTAATACTCGTACATAGTAGTCCTCCTTGTCACTTTTCTACTCAACCAGAAATAGATATGTATGTACGTGTGTCTCCTACATTCACTTGTGCTCAATATTTATACGCCGAAACCACCAAACTGTGATCTTTATTAAAGGGGCAATACTTTGAGCAGCTCCTATCAAAACAAAGGATTAACTAAATCGGCGACACGACACCATCGAACAATGAGCTCAGACAAAGACTTGAAGACGGCAGCGATTAGACGCATTGTCCTGATGGAGTGTGAGATCGCGAGGTGATGCGTTGTTAGCAAATGTATGTGCGTATGTACATACATACATACATATATACATATGTTAGTTAAAAGGCATAGAGTACCTAGAAAA